ATCGCCAGCTCCACCCCTCCACCATCGCCAGCTCCACCCCTCCACCACTCACCCCACCCCCACCATCGCCACCCCCACCATCACCACCACCACCACCACCACCATTACTACAATCCCCTCCTCCCCCTCCCTCCCCGTTCGCATGCACACTCCTCCCGCCGCCTGCCAACGGCACCATCGCGTTCTCCAACCTCGGCTACGCCGACTCGGTGGCAACGACAACCTGCGCGCCAACCACATCGCTGGTGGCCGGGAGTAAGATCCGGACCTGCGTCGATGGCGTCTGGTCCGGCTCGCCTGCCGTCTGCCGCTCCGTCTCGTGTCCGCCACTCTCCGCCCCCGCCGACAGCTCGTACATCTGCTCCAACGCCACATCGCCGTCCACGCCGGGCATCTTTGGCGAGTCGTGCCGCTTCGCCTGCCCTGCCGCCACAAACCTCACCATCGTCGGGCCCAACCCCATCGTCTGCACCGCAGACTCCGCCTGGTCCTCCTACACGCCCTTCTGCTCCACCCTTGACATAGGCCGCAGCTTTGCCACCATGACGGCGGCCCAGCCACTGCAGCTCGTCGCCGGCAGCTCCTTCACCTTTAACCTCGCTCTGCGCCACGTCAGCGGCCTACCGGCTGGCGATGGCGGCGATCGCGGCCTGGCTGTCATTAGCCTCGACGGAGCCGACATGGTCACACACACTCAGTTTGTCGAGACCGGCTCCTACATCGTTACCGCCGCAGCCCCGACTGTCGCCGGCGTCTACCACTACAGGCTCGGCGTCAACGGCAGGCTCTTCATCAACGGCATGGTCACCGTCGACGCCGTGGTGAGCCCCGGTCCCGCCGCCGGCCCAGGCTCGTACCTCGTCGACGCGCCACTGAGCGGCACCGTGCTGCTAGAGACCGACGTCGCTGCGCAGTTTGCCATCTTTATCGGCGACGCGTACGGCAACCCGGCAGCCACCATGCCGACCGCCTCCGACGTCGACATTGTGCTGCAGCTCGGCATCGCCACCATCACCATCTCCGACTTTAGCCTGGCAAACGGCGTGCTGACCTTTGACCTCAAGGTCACCGAGGGCGGAGCGTACACCCTGCTTGTCCGCCTCTTCGGCAAAGACATCCGCGGCTCGCCCTTTGTCGTCAACGCCGCCGAAACCTGCTTGCCCGGCACCGCCATCGCCGAGGGTGGGCTCTGCGCAGACTGCGCCGCTGGCACCTACTCGGACGCCGTCAACGTCGTGGCCTGCTCCGCCTGCCCCGAGTTTACAACCTCGTCCGCGAGCGCGACCTCCTTCCTCAACTGCTCCTGCCTTCCCATGTTCTGGTACGGCCCGGGCCCGCGCGCTCCCGGCAAGGCGTGCATTCCGTGCCTCGCCGGCGCACAATGCGCGGGCGGCGACGATCCGCCGAGAGCCGCCCCAGGCTACGAGGCCTCGGACGACCGCAGCGCCTTTGTCGCATGTCCGCGCCCGCAGTCGTGCATCGGAGACGGCCGCTGCGCCACAGGCTACCAGGGCCGGCTCTGCGCCCAGTGCGCCTCCAACTACTACCGGCTCGGCAACACCTGCCGCAAGTGCTCGGGCTCAAATGCCCTGGTCTTGGTCGTGCTGCTCGCCATGGTGTTTGCCTTTGTCGTGGCCGTCGTGTGGATCAACAACCGCAACACAAAGATCTACGGCTACGCCGCCTTTGTCATCGCCCTCAACACGCTGCAGGCCGTCGCCATCTACGGCACCATCCAGCTCGACTGGCACCCGATAGCCCAGGCTGTCTTTGACATTGTCTCGCTCTTCAACCTCAACTTTGATCTCGCTTCGCCCGAGTGCGGCCTGGACGTCGGCGACGTGTGGATGTTCAAGTGGGCCGCCACCATGCTCATGCCCATCGTTCTCATCATCCCGTTCTCCATGGTGGCCCTCGCTTTCACCGCCTGGCTCATCTGCAGCCTCACCCGCAGCAAGCCGCGCAGATCCTACATGGCCTGCACCCGCCAGGCCTTTGGCGCCGCCGCTCGCGGCTACTCGCAGACCATCCTCCTCCTCTACCTGCCTGTCATGTTCTCTGCCCTCCGCTACGTCGACTGCACCGATGTGGGTGGTGGTATAGTCGTCATGACCACAAATCCGCAGCGCCGCTGCTACACCAGCTCGTGGTGGTCGCTCCTCCCGCTCATCCTCTCGATCGCCCTCTTCTACGCGCTCTCCATCCCGCTGGCTCTCGGCGCCCTGCTGTGGCGCGAACACGCCCGGCTCGACGACCTAACCTTTGGCTCGCGCTACGCCTATCTCGTCGCCCGCTACAAGCCGCATCTCTACTGGTATGAGCTGATGATCATGGCCCGCAAGCTAGCGGTGGCGCTGGCCGTCTGCGCCATCCGATCGCCCGTGGCCAAGGCCTCGCTGCTCGGCATGTTCTACGCCTGCGTCCTCGTCGTCTCCGCCATGTTGCAGCACCGTCCCTATGGCACCGACTTTCACAACTGGCTCGACGCCGTCACCCTCGGCCTCTCGCAGCTTCTCCTGTGGGGCGGCGTCATCACCTCCTCGCCACTCCTCGGCAACTTGGTGGTCATCGCCTCCATCAGCGCCCTCGTCGTCGTCGTCATCGGCGCTGTCCTCTACGAGGCCTATCGCATTCGGACCCAGGACGAGGCAGAGGCCGACTTTGCCGTGGCCGCCGCCACCGCAACCGCCACAGACACCTCTGCTGCCGTCTTTGACTTTGGCGACCAGGCCCTCGATGAGTTCACCATGGCCGACTCGACGCTCGTCTTGGACGACTCCGGCACCACGCTCGCCTCCTTGGCCGTCGTCAGCGATGTGACTGCTGTCAGATCCTCATCGCCGCCGTCGCTGCAGCAGCCGCAGCCGCAGCCACAGCCGCAGTCGCAGCCACAGCAGAGTGAGCCCTGCGAGATGGCCCTAGAGGATCTCCCTGCGCCGCCAGACCTGCCGTCGCTGCCGCCAGACTTTCGACGCCGCACCATCCACACAGCTGGACTGCCGCCGCCGCCAGAGCTGCCTTCGGTCCTCCGACGTGAACCGATTCGCACCGCAGGCCTGCCGCCGCCGCCTGACCTGCCATCGGCGTACCATAGCTTGAGCTCAACCGAAAGCGATACCATGTAGCGCGACTCCAGGGGCTACCTTACCTGCCCAAGCAAGTGGCGTAACTGCGCCGAGCAAAAATTTGGCCGAGGGCTCTGAACACAATCATGGTCTTCCACTCTGTCGCCTGATCTACTCATTCTACACACGTGCCAACCACATCAAATCGTAGGCACAGTATACACCGTGGGCTATGTTGCTTTGTGCAGCCGAATCTGGTAAGACCCTCTGCTCCAGGCCGCCCGCACAAGTAAACGTCTCATGGGACTCGATCTATCGATCTGTTTTTCCGCCGATTCTCAACACCAACGAGATACAAGCCAACATCCAGTTCCCGACGAGCCACAACAGCCAAGCTTTAAGACCCCCCCTCCCCTTCCTCTCTATCCTACGCCCATGACCAGCCATCTCCCTCCACATCGCCTCACTGCCATCATCAGTACCCACCCACCCCCTGCTTCAATTAATTGATGCAATAATTGAGTCGGCCAATGTAGGGTGACCCAGCCAGCCACCGTTGCCAACGGAGCCGACACAGCCGTCAGACGGACTGCCAGCCCTCTTCCCTCCCCCCCCCCTCCCACCCCCATCATGCCCCGCGCATTCATCCCCCTCTCAGACATATCCCCGACAGAACTCGCTGTCGGGGCACAGGCCACGCTCCGCACGGGCTTCACGCGGTGCGTGGTGCGGTTTGTGGGCGCCACGCACTTTGGCCTCGGCGAGTGGATAGGGGTGGAGACCCGCGAGGGACGCGGCTCGGGCGACGGATCGGTCGACGGACGGCGGTACTTTACCTGTGCCGGCTTTGGTGTCCGCAATGCTCTCTTTCTCAAGTCCTCGGCGCTGGCCTTTGACGCGTCGCTCTCACTCTATCGCCTCTGGCGCAACCGCCGCGTCGAGTATCGCGGCGCTCCGGGCTGCCTCGTCTGGCTCGGCTACCAGCAGCATCCCGACTCTGTCGACTCTGCCCTGCTTGGTGCGGTTGGCGCTGCCTCTGCGGGTGCTGGCGGTGAGGATGGTGATGTCCCGCATCGGCTCCTTCTCGGCATCGAGCTCGATGATCGTGCTGCCGGCCATCACGGCGGCCGCGTCGGCGGCGTAACCTACTTTGTCTGCAAAAGTACGCCGGTGTCCTGGTCCCGCCGACGAGATCTGCTTTGACTATGACGATGCGCTGGTTGACGACGCCATTGCTGCCTTTGACGACGGCGGCATGGACGCTCTGGGCCCGTCCTCCCGCCGGCCGGCCGGCCACTCCACCCATGCCTACGACGACAAGCCGGACAACTCCTTCCGCCCTGTCACCCCACCACCCGCAACACGTGCCATCTCGCTCACCGACGACTTTGCCCATGCAGATCCCACTCCGGCTCCTTTAGCCACTCCTTCCCCTCCCGTCTCACCCACTCCGGCCTCCATAGCCTCTGACCACTCCGTCACCCCTCCTCCTCGGCCGTCACCCTCTCCTCCTGCCTCTGACAAGGACCTCGTGCTCTCGGCAGCCGACGAGTCGCTCGATCTCGCAGCGGACGACTCGGACAAGGACCTCGTGCTCTCGGCAGCCGACGAGTCGCTCGATCTCGCAGCGGACGACTCGGACAAGGACCTCGTGCTCTCGGCAGCCGACGAGTCGCTCGATCTCGCAGCGGACGACTCGGACAAGGACCTCGTGCTCTCGGCAGCCGACGAGTCGCTCGATCTCGCAGCGGACGACTCGCTCGATCTTGACGGCTCGAACGCCTCGGACGATGACCTTGTCCTCTCGGCAGCCGATGATGACCTCGCCCTAGACGGCTCGGACGAGCTCGACCTCGGCCTGGGCCTCGGCCTCGGGTCAGACGACGACGAGCTCGGCCTCGGATCGGACGACCTCGATCTCGGCCTCGGCTCAGACGACGACTTGTGCCTCGGCTCGGACGACGACGACCTCGACCTTGACGACCTGTAGACAGAGCATTGAAGCAGACGCAGAGTTTAGTTTATCAGTCGCAGATGGGCCCGCTCGGCCCGGCGTCGGCGGCGTCGGTCAGCGTGTCCACGGCCTTGGCGAGGATCTTGAGCGTGTCCCATCCCTCCACCACCATGGCCAGCTCAGCCCGCTTCGTTCCGGGCACCTTGTACTTGCGGAGCTTGGCGGCGTTCTTGTCCGAGCGCATGTTGACAAAGACGACGGCGGTGCCGTCGCGGCCGGTGGTCCCGTCGTCGTCGTCGCCGTCGTCGACCGCGACCTGCGCCGCGCCCATGCCGTGAGCCACCAGCTGCGGGTCGTCGAGCTCGCCGCCGAGCACGACGATGCTCTCGCCGTACGCGCCGGGCTGCGGGACGCGGTAGACCGGCTTGATGATCTGCGGCGAGGTCCGGAGCACGTCCAGCACGGCCTCGTACCGCTCGAGCGCAGTGCCGGTCAGCTCGACCTCGATCTCGCCGTCGGCCGAGACGACGACGACCTTGCGCGCGAGGTTGCCGGCGATGAACGCCGCCATGTTGATGAGCCGCAGCTGCGCCTGCGACGCGTTGGCCTTGTCGGCCTCGGACACCATCTGCGCCACAAGCGACGTCGACGCCGACGCCGTTCGGTTGTTCGACGACGGCGAGTGGTCGAGGCAGGTGAACTTCTGCGTGCCGGCCTCGCGGTCGAGCGTGATGTACCCGGCAATGTTGACCGACGTCTCGCCACTAAGCCGCGCCGCCGAGATGACGTCCATGCCCTGCGGGCCGGTTCCGGTCGAGTGCGGGTTCGCCACAAAGACCGAGGCGTCGTGCATGGCGTCAAAGGCCACGCCCGAATACGAGAAGACGACAATAACCACGTACTTGGCGGTGGGGAAGCCCTCGAGAAGCTCCGCCAGCGTGATCTGCACATCCTCGCGTGCGCCCTCAGGGAACGGCGCCGACGTCTTGTCGCCCGAGTGCCGGCAGCCGGCAATGGTCGTCTTTTGGTACGAGCACCGCTCAAGGAACTCCCACGAGGACGAGTAGACCATGATCGAGAGGTCAAGGTCGATGCGCGGCCCGTCCTTGGCCTGGCACCACGAGATGCCCGGCATCATCACGTCGAGCGTCTCGCCGTCGTGAACAAGCTGTTGGAGGACTACGCCCTCGTTGCGCCACAGCGAGGTCCGCGAGTACTCGGGAATGACCGGCGGAATGCCGGTCCGCACCGGGTTGTGCAGCTCCGGGGAGTTGATCACCACCGCCGTGTCGTAGACCGGCCCGCCCGCCACCTCGCGCTCCGCCGCCGTGTTCGCCGCCGCCCTTAGCATGGCCACGTAGGGCTCGAGCGCCGCCGCCGAGAACGTCGCGCTCACCCGTCGGTGGACCACAATGCTCTTGACCTGCCCCTTCTTGTCGCGAACCGAGATCGGCTCCATCTGCACACGCACAAGGCCCTCGGCGTCAGCCTCGGCGCCACCGGCGAGGACTCCGGCCACGAGCTCCTCCAACCGCGCCACGTACGCCTCGGTGAAGGTCTCCTGCAGAAAGGCCACCACCTTGAGGAGGTCAAAGGCCTTGAGCTTGTCAGCTGCCGCCGAGAGGACCGCGCCGACGTTGTCCGACGGGTACTCGAGGAGAATGAGCGTCCGCAGGTTGGCGAGGACCTGCGCATGCGTGACGAGGCCGAGCTCAAACAGCTTGTCCCACGCATGGTGGGTGTTGCCCTCGCGCGCCAGGACGTTGTCCACCGTATTCTTCAGCGGCTTGTGGAGCTTGCGCCCCGCGAGCGCCTCGACCCAGGTCGGCGACGACCAGAGCTCGGCGTCGGCGACTTCAAACATCCGCGCGCTGGCGAGCTTGCCGAGCGGCGCCGCCACCCGCTCGGCCCAGGCCGTCTCGGCAAACTCGGCGGCACTTGCCGGGTACTTGCGCTCAGTGAGCAGCGCCTGCAGCATGTAGAGCGTCGGCTGCGCGCTCGCCGGCACCACCTTGCCCACCAGCACACCAAAGTGCAGGGCCCTGAAGAGCGCCTTGTAGAACCCGGGCTTCTTGAACATGTCCATCAGCCGCGTCAGCGACATCCCGCCCATGGCCATGACAATGGCCGCACGCAGCGGCCGCGGCAGTGCGATCTTCGGCTTGCTCCACTTGGTTTTGAGCTCGTCGACGCTCGCGCCGCCGCTCAGGGCCACCGCGTACTCGATCGCCGCCATCGAGGGGAGCAGCGCCGCCAGTGCCTTCTTGTTGAGCGGTGCGCCCGAGGCCGCGGCGGTCGCCGCGTCTGCGGCGAGCGTCACGCCCACCAGCACGCCGAGCACCTCGTTGGGCTTTGGCATCGGGTCCGACTCGACAGACGAGCTCGAGGCGGCGGCAGCAGCAGCATCAGCGCCGAGGTCGGCATCCGGCGCGGCGGCGGCGGCGACAGCGTTCAGCACCGCCGCGTCCGTGAGCGAGGCGCGGTCGAGCTTGCGGACAGTGTTGAGGGCGGCGAGGACGTCGGAAGCCTGCGGACCGGTGGGGAAGCGCGAGACGGCCATCGACTTGAGCAGCTGGCGGAGCCAGAACTCGTTCGACGAGCCCTCCTCCACATGGACGGTGATGGCCATGAGTTTGTCGGTCAGACGCTTCTCGGCAAAGTCAGCCGAGAGCAGGCTCCGCTGCCAGTGGACGTTGTCGACCTGAGCCTTGACGGTTTGATGGTAGAGCTTGAGCGGGGAGAAGCCATTGGGCCAGCCGCCACGGATGATCATGCCGCAGTAGCGGAGGAGCATGTCCGACTCGACGGCAAAAAAACGATAAAGTGCCTTGCATGTCATGGCCAATGCCAAGAGGTCGTTGGCGGCAAAGAGCTCACGCGGCTCGGCGAGCGTTCGCAGGAGGAGGAGCAGGTGGTCGACCACAGGCCCGTTATCCTCGCAGGCCGGAGTTGGGAAGAGCGGCACGGGGACCATGCACGACCGCGCAAGTCCAAGATCAAGCTCCATACTTTGGTGGGTATTGGAAGAGAGAGAGAGAGATGTGTGTGGTGTGGTGTGTGTGTGTGGTTCGGGAGGGGCGAGGG